CCATGCCGGAGAAGCGGCCGTTCGAGCGGCTGCCCGCCGACGTGTCCCCCCTCAACTATGGGCTCTGCCTCAAGCCGGACCTCATCGACTTCACCTTCGAGGGAAAGCTGGAGGCCGCCGTGCAGGTAGGGGCTTCCCCCACACCCCCCCCACACCCCCTTCTTCCTCCTCCTCCTCCTCCTCCTCTTCCTCATCCCCCTCCTCCCGCCCCGCCCCTGAGGGGTCCCGCCAGCCCGCGCCCCCCTGAGGGGACCCCTCAGTGCCCCCGGGGGACCCCTCAGTGCCCTCCTCAGCCCCCGGGGGTGTTTCCCCCCGCTCTCCCCTCAGGGTCCCCGCTCTCCCCTCAGAGCCCCCGCTCTCCCCTCAGAGCCCCCGCTCTCCCCTCAGAGCCCCCGCTCTTCCCACAGGGACCCCGCTCTCCCCTCAGGGTCCCCGCTCTCCCCTCAGAGTCCCCGCTCTCCCCTCAGAGTCCCCCGCTGTCCCCTCAGGGACCCCGCTGTCCCCTCAGGGACCCCGCTGTCCCCTCAGGGTCCCCTCTCTCCCCACAGAGCCCCCGCTCTCCCCTCAGGGACCCCGCTCTCCCTTCAGAGCCCCCGCTCTCTCCTCAGAGCCCCCGCTGTCCCCTCAGAGCCCCCGCTCTCTCCTCAGAGCCCCCGCTGTCCCCTCAGGGTCCCCGCTCTCCCCTCAGAGCCCCCGCTCTCTCCTCAGAGCCCCCGCTCTCCCCTCAGAGCCCCCGCTGTCCCCTCAGGGTCCCCTCTCTCCCCACAGGGTCCCCGCTCTCCCCTCAGGGTCCCCGCTCTCCCCTCAGGGTCCCCGCTGTCCCCTCAGAGCCCCCGCTGTCCCCTCAGGGACCCCGCTGTCCCCTCAGAGCCCCCTCGCCCCCTCCCCAGCCGAGCCCTGAGGCCCCCGCTGGCTCCGATCCCCCCATTCCCCCTCAGGGCCCGGCCGGGCAGGTGCAGCGAGGCCCCTCAGGGCTCCCCGCGCGTCTCCTCCGTGTTTCCATTCACAAACCTCCTCCGAACCCCCCCCACAAAAACCCCCTCCGGGACCCCCCCAAGCCCGGCGGGGCTCGGGGAGGGGGCCCCGCCCAGCCCGGCCCCGCTGCGGCCCCCGCGGGTCGCCCCGGGCGGCTCCTCCCGGGGCCGGGCTGGCCCGGGCCGGGATGCGGGAGAGCCCCGCAGCCCCGCCCGGGATCCCCGGTGCCCCCAGCCCCTCGGGGACCCCCCCGTGCTGCGATCCGTGGGGATGGATGGATGGATGGGGATTATGTTGGAAAAGCCAAATAAAAGGAGAAGTCAACCCCCCCACACACACACACACCCCGGTGTGGCTCTCGGGTGAGGGTAGGCCTCGGTGTCATGGAGAGGCTGGGGATAAGAGCCGGGGAAAAAAGGTTTACGCCGCGTTTTTCTGCGAGGCGAGGGGAAAAATCCTCCTCGCTGTGCTCGTGTGCTTCAGAGCCGGAACCAGTTCTGTGAAATCCTTCAAGTCTCTCCCAGTCATTCTCATTGGCTGCTCTGCCAAGATTTCCCGAATTTGCTTTCACGTCTT